TATTTTAAAAATAGGATAAAGAATTCTATACTTCTCATGTTTGCACGTAAGTCCAAAAATCTCACCATATACAACCTTGAAGCAGGACAGTCCCAGAATATTCCTTTTCCTGTCTCTTGCTTTCATTCACCACCCCCTGTGCCTCTTTTTCAAAGGATGCAAGACATACACAACAGATCACGGAAATGAGTGTAAAAGGTAAAGCCCAAACTAATGAAGATGGGAAAGGTGGTGATAATTAAATTAGAAAACTGAAGCTAATTGAAACAACATTGAGATACCATCTCACCCCAGAAAGAATGGCTATCATAAATAAATCAACCAACAATAAATACTGGAGAGGCTGTGGAGGGGAGGGGTGAGAAGGAACTCTTCTCCACTGCTGGTGGAAATGTGTACTGGTATGACCATTATAACCATTGTGGAAATCAGTGTGGAGACTCCACAAAAAACTAGGACTGGAAATCCCATTCAGTCCAGCTATTCCTGTTCTGGATATTTTCCCAAAAGAACTGAAAACATCATATCATAGTGATACATGTGCACTCATATTTATAGCAGCCCAATTTGTCATAACTAAACCTTGGAATAACCAAAATGCCCAACACCTGAGGCATGGATGAAAAAGATGTGGTATTTTTATGCAATAGAGTATCACTTAGCTGTAAAGAAAAACAAGCTCAAAACCTTTGTAGCTAAGTGGATACAACTTGAGGCTGTACTCATAAGTGACATAAACTAGACCCACATGTGTAAATATCCTATTGTCTCCCTAGTGTAAGAACTCAAAGGAAGAAACAAAAACTGAAAGGTATAATAGACATAGTTAAATGGAAAGTAACAGAATTTAAAGATTAAACAATGAAGAGAGAGGAAAAAAGATAGGAAATAAGGTAGGGGCAAAACCACATATGTATATATACAAGATGGCTAAGGCAATTGTCCTAAGAATTTCCATCAGTTTTTTGAAAATATCAGTTAATGGGTAGAACTCTCACGCTGACTAACTCTGCTGATATCTGTGAGCTAAGCAACTACACTGAGAACAGCAATGTATAATACTAAAACCATGCTTGAAATACCTGTTATCTTGGTCTTCTAAATGTGTA